CCCCCCCCGCCCTTTGCCTTAGCGCCCCCACTAAACCCCAAGGCTTCTTTGCTTGCTGTGGCATTTCTTACAGTAACATCTCGTGCCTGCAAACCTCATCACCTCAGCTTCACAGCTAAAAACTAGAAAGTAAACAAACAAACAAACAAACAAAAAGCCTCTAAATAGCCAAAAGAATGGTCATAAACTCTGGAGACTAAAGTTCTCCAGCCATTGTTTTAAATTTTTAGAACATTTCTAAGAAGCCCTGTTAACTGGTGGCCCCAGCCTATTCACAGGCAACACTTGGAAACAACAAAAAGATCTCTAATAAGTAGGCTTAAGCACTTCACAAACACAGCTTTTAAAAAAAAATTTTTTTTTCAACGTTTATTTTTGGGACAGAGAGAGACAGAGCATGAACGGGGGAGGGGCAGAGAGAAAGGGAGACACAGAATCGGAAACAGGCTCCAGACTCTGAGCCATCAGCCCAGAGCCTGACGCGGGGCTCAAACTCACGGACCGCGAGATCGTGACCTGGCTGAAGTCGGACACTTAACCGACTGCGCCACCCAGGCGCCCCCACAAACACAGCTTTTAGTTTAGAGGTAGCAAGTTACAAACACCCCTCAAAAGCCCCTAAGGCACAAGGTATAAACTTGACTCTGGTAGTTCTAGCCATGAAACCATGACTGACGGTCAGGGTTCTTGCTCTGCAGATAAGCGAGAGGTCAACTACACTCAAGCCTGCCTGCCTTGTGACAGAGGAGTCACGGCTGAATTGGACCCAAATCTCCGTGTCCAAAAACCCTGTCTACCTCCGGTTCTGAATGTTCTCTTAAAATAATGATGGAAGATGTACTTCTTAGAGAACCTCAATATACCAAACTAGTGAATGGATAAAGAAGATATGGTGTATATATACACAATGGAATATTACTCCGCGATCAAAAAGAATGAAATCTTGACATTTTAGCAACAACGTGGATGGAACAAGAATGTATTGTGCTAAGCAAAATTATTCAGTCAGAGAAAGGCAAATGTATGCTTTCACTCAAATGTGGAATTTAAAAAACAAAACAGATGAACATATGGTAAAGTAAGGAAAAATAAGATAAAAACAGAGGGAGGCAAACCAAGAGACTCTTAAATACGGAGAACAAACTGAGGGTTGCTGGAGGGGTGTTGGGTTGAGGGGAGGATGGGCTAAATGGGTGATGGGCATTGAGGAGGGCACTTGTTAGGATGAGCCCTGGGTGTTATATGTACGTGATGAATCGATAAATTCTACTCCTGAAACCATTATTACACTATATGCTAACTTGTATATATTAAAAAAAAAGATAACGGAGGCTGTACTTCTTAGAGAACCTCAATATACCTAAAATATAAATGTCTAGGTGCTTCCATAAATTGAAAAAATCACAAATGAGGAAACATGGCAAACGCAGTGCTCGCAAACGGAGTAAGCCCCTGAAAACAAATTTTCTCAAGAGGAGCGTTGGGTCTAGGGTGACTGGCGCTCGGAGGTCCAGCGGGGAGCCCGGCTCCGCCCAGCTGGCAGGGTGAGAAACGTACAGTCATTGGTCAGGTCCCTCGCACGCCGCCACGAGGCCCCGCCTCCTCCAAGGAAAGTCTCCCGGACACACGCGCGCGCAGGCGGCCTCCCCGCCTTAGCCCACCGGATGAAGTCTGTTTTAGAACCGCTCTCCGCACAGCCCCCACCTGCAGACTTCCGGCCGGCTGGTCGATGCCGCCCCGCCCCTGAGGGCAGGGATGTTGGGAACCACCAATCACGGAGCGCATGTGGTGAGAGTGGGTGGGGCCTGAGAGATTCGAAAGGAGCCCCACCCCCTCAGGGCTGATTCCCGGGACTAAGTGGTAGGGGGCAAGTGCTTTCTGCGAGAGGTGAGGCGGGGCGGAAAGTAAAAACAGAGGGTGGGCTGGAGGTGTGGTGTGGGTGTGGTGCCGTGTGAGTGGAAAGGTAGTTTGGGGAAAGAGAGAACCGGAGGATGGTGGCGGGGAAGAAGATGGGGCGCGCAGACCGCCCCCGGTGAGAAGAGCCCAGGTTGTAGGGGGGCGGCAGGGCAACCTGAGGAGGGGGATGGTGCTTTCTCGGCACCTTCCCCGGAGTTCACAGGGCTAGTTACAGGGGCAGGTGCTACCCCTGGGACCCTTGCTTTATCTCCAGCATGATCCTCATCCCCTGGCTTGCACCCTGCGTTTAGCTGGGGGCCTTGGGCAGGATGGAGACCTGAAGAAAGGTGTATTCTGTCTCCAGCTCAGGTCTAATCTGACTCGTGCACCTGCTGGCTGGAACATGGAAGATTTAGAGGAAGGTAAGGAAAGTAAGGAGGGAGGGGTAAGGCGCTGCGATTGAGAACGGCGTTAGGGACCCGAGGCTGGCATTCCTTCCTTCCTCCCCTACAGATGTAAAGTTCATAGCGGATGAGACCTTGGACTTTGGAGGGCTGTCACCATCTGACAGGTACCAGCATCTTTAACCTACTTGCTTTCCTTCAACAGTGCCTGTGTGCCTCTGTCCCCTTAGTGCTGAAGTATTGTCCTCTGGGGTCTAGGTTGGTAATTGGGGTTGGGTGCCCTGGGGCTGCTGGGTGACTTGTTGACATGGGCCCCTGTGACACTTTTGGGGGAGGGGAAAAGGGATAAGCTGGAATGAGATTTCAGGATGTTAAGAAGAAGGGTAAGTGGATTTGCTCCGTCCGCATCCTGGCATAATTTCCAGTGTCGGTAAGTGCTAAAGGCCTATGAGGCCTCATAGAACGGGGCATCTCATCGCCTAGAGACCACCCTCACAGCCAGCATGGGCTTCCGGTTTTGGGGTTGTGTCCCTGGCTCTGTTGTGGAGGAGTTGCCCAGTCTCCTTTGCAGTCTCCTGCTCTCTTCTGTGTGGGCATGGCGCCTGGTTTGTTTTCTGTCTCAGTCGTGAGGAGGAAGACATAGCAGTGTCGGTGACTCCAGAGAAACCACTCCGAAGAGGACTCTCCAATCGAAGTAATCCAAATGCAGTGGCCCCAGCCCCCCAGGGGCTGAGGCTCAGCTTGGGTCCCCTTAGTCCAGAGAAGCTGGAGGAGATTCTCCACGAGGCCAACCGGCTGGCAGTTCAGCTGGAGCAGTGTGCCCTGCAGGAGCAGGAGAGCACAGGCGAGGGCCTGGGGCCTCGCAGGGTGAAGCCCAGCCCCCGGCGGGAGACCTTTGTGCTGAAGGACAGTCCTGTCCGAGACCTGCTGCCCACTGTGAGTTCTTTGACTCGGAGCACCCCCTCCCCAAACGGCCTGACACCCCGACTCCGGAGCGGCGATAAGAAGGGGTCAGTCAGGGTTCTCCGGGCAGCATCTGGAAAGAGGCCCTCCAGTGTGAAAAGGGTGAGTTTGGAGGGCCTGGGTTGGACGTGTGCCCTCAGACCCAGTGCGTGACTCGGTACAGACATAGAGTGGTTTCCTCGTTGGTAAAGTGGGGATAGTAAAATTCTACCTCAGGACTGTTGAAATTGAGCAAAATACCATAAGCAAAGCACTTAGCACAGTGTCTGTGCATAACTCTACACGGTCTATAATAAGCTCACGATAAATGGTATTGATGAGGATGACGATGTCGGCAGCAAACGTCTGCCCTTGCTTCCTGGGATCTAGGCAGCTCTCCACCTCTATTCCTCAAACAGCCAGCAGAACAGATTCTTTTTCCATTCTAGTCCTATTTTTTCTCTCTTGTATTTCAGGAGTCACCCACTTGCAATCTGTTGCCTACATCCAAAAGCCCAGCATCTTCTCCTCTCGCCCGATCTACTCCTCCAGTCCGGGGCAAAGCTGGGCCCAGTGGGAGAGCAACAGCAAGTGAGGAGACTTGGGCAGCAAAACTGTGGGTGAATGGGAGGAGGGAGGGTATGGAGCTGACCCCAAAATTCCTCTACTCCTCTCCACCAGGCCCGCCTACCCCTGTCAGACCAGTCTTGGCCCCACAGCCTCCTACCGGCAACTCTCAGCGCCTCTCTCGGCCGCAGGGAGCAGCTGCTAAGCCTTCCAGTCGACTGCCTGTTCCCTCTGCCATCCCCAGGCCTGCCAGCCGAATGCCACTCACCAGCCGGAGTGTACCACCCAGCAAAGGTGCCCTGCCTCCAGCTTCTCTGCCACCTCGGAAAGGACTTCCACGACCAAGTGCTGTAGGGCACAGAGGTGAGGAAGAGTGGACGTAATGGCTGGAAATCAGGAGGAAGAATGCCTACCCTTGCCCAGCTTGAATGCACCCTCCCAGAGCTGGGAACAGTGACCCCTTTCTCCATCTTCATTACAGCCCAATTTGAAGATGGGGAGACTGAGCTAAGGAGAGATGTGGGCCCGGGCAAAGAGTGTGAACTGTGGTTTTCAAATACTTTATGTTTTGTAACCTTGGGTGGGAGGAAAGGCACTAATCCCAGACTCACTCGGGGAGGGTCACTTGAACTTTCTGCTCACTTATTTCTTTTGTTAACCCCCATCAAGTTCCTGTTTCCCAGCGGCCAAATCTTCCCATCACTGCTGCCAGTCGCAGCAACCTGCAGCCCCCCAGGAAAGTGGCGGTCCCAGGACCCACCAGGTAAGACTGGTCGAGATGCTCTCTCTCCCCTGTCACTGAGGCTTCCAAACTGTTAGGCACACCAGCCCTGAATCCTATGTGGCAAGATGGGAATGAGGAGGGGAGACTAGAGGGTCAGGGAGTCCCATTTCTTCCTTCCCTGAGGAACTTCAACTCAGCTCGGTGACAAATAGGCTTGAAGAAGAGGGAAAGTTTGTTTGTTTGTTTGTTTATTTAGAGAGAGCAGGGGAGAGGGGCAGAGGGAAAGAGAGAAAGAATCTTAAGTAGGCTCCATGCTTAGCACACAACCTGACTCGGGGCTCGATCCCACCATCCTGGGATCATGACCTGAGCTGAAATCAAGAGTCAGATGCTCAACCAACTGAGCCATCCAGACAGCCCAGAAGAGGGACAGTTTAAAGCAGTTCTTCCTTCTGACTCTTTAGGTAAAGAGATCAGGTCAGCAAGCAAAAATTCAGGAGCAAACCACTACAGTCACTGCCTGGACTCACCTCTACTCGACCTCCCAAGCCCTCTCATGGAAGGCAGGCCCTGACTCCAGAAGATTCTGCCCCAGGAGCAGGAGGAAAAGATCCCACCAGGGCTGGTGCCCCAGGAGTGAAGAGATGGGAGATGGGGTGGATTAGGGTTGAGCTGGAGGGGAATCAAACTCTGTGGGTTGAAAGAGGATTAGGAAAAAGAGGTCACCTCCCAACAGTGAAATTAACAAGCAGAAAATGAGAAATGCAGGAGAGTGGTTTGTCCTCTTCCACCCCCCACTCTTGTGTTCAGTCCCAGAGAGTTTGATCTTCTTCCCAGGCTTTGGCTCACTGGACATTTACATGTGAATGGCCTCTGTAGCTAACCTCCCTGCTCTCTGAGGAACAGTCCTGAATCACATCCTCTACTGGATGCAGGCCTGTTTGGAGAGGCAGAGGCAGACACCTGGTCTCTAGAACTTATTTCCTGTGAATTCTGTGACTCTTAAGAGGCCAGTTTATGATAAGCTTACATCGATCTGCGTTTTTCTAAAATAAAATGAATGTATTTTTATAATCTCTGTATGTGTGAAAGTAAATGCTCCAATTTCAAACAAATACGTAGTAAACTCCTGTGTTATTCCAATGAGGGAGCCAGGAGGAGCCTCCCAGGCTGGGGCCTCAATAGGCCGAAGGCTCTTGTGATTGCAGCTCCTCCAGCTGTGACTATCCGCCCTCCCTTTGTTGGCATTAGATGGGAACAAGCTGCCTTTTCACAGGATTTGTGTGTTACTGGAAGGTCCAGATCAAGTAAAATATAGCTTGATTCACACTATGTGAGGTTATCAAGGGTCTTGGTCAATTATTTATATCCTAAGCTTGCTAAGTTTGGGTGTCCTTCCTGGCAAGAGAATGAAGCCCTTTTTTTTTTTTTTTTTTAAGTTTATTTATTTTGAAAGAGAGCGAGAGAGAGTGGGAGCGAGGGAGGGTCAGAGAGAGAGAGGGAGAGAGAGTCCCAAGCAGGCTCCACTCTGTCAGGGAAGAGCCCAATGCGGAGCTCGAATCCACAGACCGTGAGATCATGACCTGAGCCAAAATCGAGTTTGGACACTCAACCTACTAAGCCACTCGGGCACCCGGAGAATGGAGCCTTCTGAGAATGCCTCATCATCTAGCCTGAGGTACTGAGATGAAGGGACCCTTTGATGGGTCCCCTGGTATTCACTTTCACTGACTGCTTCAGTAGAAGATACTGGAACACCTCGTCACGTATATCATTAGATATTGTTGGTGTTCTCTTATGTCCCCTCCTAGACGTGAGGGTTGGCACTAGGTTTTAGTGCCTAGTGTTGTCATTTGTATGTGGCAGAGAATTTCATTTATTTATTGAAAAAATAAATTTGAGTGCAAGATGGTGGGGGGTTGTTGAATGAGACTCATTTAACAGATTTCGCTAAGCCTTTGACTCACAGCCTTTGACTCTTGCAACCAGAACCAATTCAATTCCTTGTGAGTTTTGAGAGAACTTCCCTCTTAGAAGGCTAGGCTGTGACTTAAGGAAGGCAATAGGCAACTGGGCAGAGGGAGTGGAGTGTCAGCTGGTGTCCCCTGCCCCCCACATACATATGCCCACAAGCACCCTACATAGGCACTGAAATGCCCTTCCCCAGACAGAGGCCCTCCACTGCTGTCTTCTCCTTTTTATGGCCGATCTTAAAGTTCATGTAACACATTTCACCTATATCACAGTGACAGCTGCCTAGATGTTCACCCCTCTCCCTGAGCCTCTGTCAGCAACTCCTACAGCCTCTGGGATTCCAAGAATTGAGTTGGGGGAGGGGATGTGGAAACACACTTGAGTATTTGGCTCTGGAGAAATCTGGCAGAGGCCAGAAAACCTGAGGTGTGTTCCCCAGCTGTGTCCTGCGCGGGTGTCTGGCGAGCAGGGCCTGTTGGTGACTCCCGGCTCCGGCAGAAGCGCTGGAAGGTCGGCATGCCCAGGCAAGCACTTAGGTGTGGCCAGCAGATGGCACGTGTGTGTAGCTTGGGAGACAAAACCAGCCGCAGACCCATGTGCTGTTGCCACCTGGTGGCCGGAAAGGACAAGGCATGTTCCTTTTGCTCTCGGTCAGTCTTGAATTTCGTAACCCCCACCTCACCCCATCCCCACCCACCCCGCCCCCATCCTGCCCCACCCCCATCCCGCCCCAAGCCGGCTTAAGCAACATTCAGTAGGCAGTGCCAGCGAGGGAGGAGGCCCACCTGCCACAGCTGCCTTCCTTGTTCAGCTACCTGCTTCCTTCCTTCCCTTCAGGTCCGCCTTTCTAGTTGTCTATGCTCTCTAACCCCACCCCTGCCCAGTAGCAGCAATGAGGGAAGCCAACATTTACTGGCCTCTTACTATGCACTGTGAACTGTTTTAAGCGCCTTACATGTGCTAACTCATTTAAGTCTCATAAAAGCTCAATTAGGCGGATGTTCTTACCATCCTCATTTTGCAGGCAAATAAATTAAGTCACTCAGTCTGGTGCCCAGGGCTTGTGCTCTTAATCACTACGCACCCTCTAGTGCCCCCATGTTAACTCCCTAACTAGTTTGCTGAACAGACCTTTGAAGAAAATACAAAACTTGGGAAGAGAAGTAATGTTGCAGAACATGTAGTTGGCTTGAGTGTGAATTGCTGCTTCATTTCCAATGGCAAAACACACAAAATGGCCCAGAGAAGTGGTCAGGAGGTACCTAGTCACTGAGCTTTGAATTCCTACCAGCCACTCAGCCACTCAACTCTGCCCTCCCTGCCTCCTGAATTCTGTCCCCAGGACTCAGCCCCTGAGCGACTGGACCGGAAACCTGCCTGCTGTTTGCAGCCTCTCCAGCCACACAAGTCCCTCCTATCCTGGTGAAAAGGAAACCGTCCTGCCACCTGCCGCATCTTCCTTGGACATGCCAGAACATGGGCTCTGTGCTGATGAGGCTATTTGGCTACTGCTGGGGTGTTGGTAGAGGGACTAGCTCATCGGCTGCTTGGCATCTGAGTCCCCTGACCTCCTGGCCCACCTAGGGCCCTGCCTGCTCTTGTTTTCCAGAGCTGCCCTCTGGAAGGACAGGGTACCACACAGAAGCACGTGATGACAGTGCTCAACCCGCACAGAGCTATAGTTTATTCAGTAGTATGGGGAAATGAAAAAAACAAACACAAAACCCTACTGTATTTACAGTAACAATCAAACTGTACAATCTGATGGTTAGTATCAAGTTAGCATCCAGCATCTTTGTGTTGTTTAAGTCATCAGTAGTTAAAAACCAGTTAAATTTTTAACCCTTTGCAGGAATTGCTGAGGGGAGAGGTCAGGGGGAGAATCCATGGCAGAAAAGCCAAAAACCAGCCTTACAAGTGAGAACAGGAACATTTTTTTCCCCCACCCATAGCCTCTTTTTCTAGCCACCTGCTCCAGAGGAAAGTCAGTGACAAGTCAGGAGTACATGCTTAGCATAAACAGTAACTCAAATGAATTGCAGTTGGCAAAACTGAGGAGGCCGGAGGAGAGGAGGCAGGAGATGACAGCCTGGAGCAGGGGAAGGGCCTCAGGCCCCCACGCCAGGATTGCTGGGTACACACCCAACCTGTCACAGCCACATCAGACCCCCTGGGACCGGACACGAACTCATCCCAACACAAAAAGCAAATAAATAAAATATATATTAACTCTCTCTTCGCAGGGAGCTGGGGGTGGGCATGGGACAGGGAGAGAAAGAGGAACAGGACCCGGTCCTTTGAAGAAGAGAGCCAATTCCAAGAAGGGGTTAAAAATAGAACATGTCTCAGAGGCCACAGCAGGTCAGACAAAGTGGGATTTGTCTGATCTCGGGTGGGTAGGTGAGTGGACACCAGAACCCAGGCTTGAGACCTGTGCTTGAGACGTCTGGGGACGACTGAGCCAGCCCTGGATTTACTCTTCCTCCCCGTCCCACCCACACCACAGCAAAGAAGCGCAACTTAACACACGACTGGCCTTCCCCATGCGGGTCAGGCAGGGAAATGAAGCACTTTTGGGTCAGCGAACTGAGCAAACGCCTGGACTGCAGCGCGTGGCCAGAGTCCAGGGAGAGAAGAGGGGCTGGGGTGGCCCGGCCGCCGCCCAGGGGCACGGGTTCCCCTCAAAATGTGTTCATGCAGCATTTGGGGGTCTGGGGGCGTGGAGTCCTTCTGCCCCCTCGCCAGACAGGGCTTTTTTCAGTTCCTGGGAGGGGCAGCACAGGCAGAGTGAGGAGTGCCCTCCACCTTGACGCCCTCACCACACTGAGGCCTGCCGGGGTGCAGCCTGCAGGGCTTGATGCCCTTGGGTGCATGTGGCTTTGTCCTTTCCTTTTGGTGATGGCAAATGAGGGGCAGGCCCCCCAAAAGTCCCTCTCCTCCCAGAGGCACAGCAGATGGGAAACTGAGGAGAGGCTGGGAAGTATCCTGGGAGGTCCTATCCTCTTTGGGAAGGGAAAGGGGAGTCAGTTTCCAGCATATAAAAAAAATTAATCCCTGAAGTCATGAAGAGTGGAGATCCTTTTTTAAATTCTTTTTTCCTCTTTTCTGAAAAACTTTGTCTTGGAGATGTTGGCCCCAGGGGTCCAAAGTGCAGTGAAGGGGATGGTGGGGGAGGGAGTTGGCACTAGATGGCCTTGGGAGGGGTGGGCGCCCCTCCCGGCAAGGCCCAGGCTCCTCAGATGGATGTTTCGTCGCTGCTGCGGGCAGGCGGTGGGGAGCAAGGGCAGGATAGAGCACAAGACAGGAGTGGGGGCATGAGTGCAGCTGGGGAAGGTAAGGGAGCCTCAGGGTGTAGGAACCACCGGCCCAGGGTTAATGCAGGAAGTTAAAGAAGAGAAATCTGGAGAGGCAGGAAAGGAAAGTGACAGAAAAGGCAGACAGGGGGTTAGTCGGAGCAGAGAAGACAGGGAGAAGCTTCCACCAGGAGAAGGAAACAGAAAAGCAACCCCAGCTCCCCACCCTCCCTCACTTTGCCCGATGCGGGCTGAGCTGACCCCATGGGGCACCATGGTCTGTGGGCATGTCACAGTAAGGCAGCTGGCCAGCCCATCCGTCCCCCGACCGCCTGCCAGAGCAGCCTGGCGAGGCCTGGAAGCAGCTGTGAGCCCAGCCGGGCCTCTGAGGGGCTGCGCCCGGTCCCACCCAGCCAGCCTCACTCACTCGGAGCCCGACGAGTCCTCATCCACTGTGCCCGCCTTGATACTCATGGCGATGGGCATGACCCCGTTCAGCTGCTCCTGGAGACTCTGCCGGGGTGGAGGGCGGGGAGGGGGCCCGCCCCGGCTGCCTTCGCTGGCTGAGGAGCCCCGAGAAGACCCTGTGCCCTGCTCCAGGGGCAGCCGTAGGAGGCTGCTCTTCTCACTGATGGTGGGCAGATACTTCTTCTTGAGGATGCCTGTGGGGGGAGGGGGGGTGCAGGCGCCATGAGGAACAAGTGGTAGGCTCATGGGACTGCCCTAGAGAGCCCTACCAGCCACGGGGCAAAGGTGAGTTGTGAGGTTGCCAAATGGGGGAGCATGGCAGCTGGGCATGCCCTGCTCACCTTTGTGAGGTTGGGCAGAAGGGCCTGGAAGGGGGCCCAGGGACCCCTCCCGAGGCAGGGCATCTCCATTCTCCCAAGGATGCTCCTCAGAGGCCCCATTGCCACTACTCTCCTTTGCTGTGGTCCCAAAGTCTCCTGGCCAGGGAGCCTTCCCGGACCCTGGGCCCCCATCTGGTGGAGAAAGGAAGTTGATAAGGCCCAGAGAAGACAGACAGCTAGGAACTCACTACCCTAGGAATTCCAGGCCCTTTGCCCTCCCGTTGCCCCCTTCAAAGGCCAAAGCCCTGGCGCCGGCCCACCCTTGGGGGTACTGTGCAAGGGCAGTCTCTCAGCGCCAGGCCCCAGCAGGCTGTCCCAGCCTGGCTCTCCAGGGAAGGCGGCCTCCTCCTCCTCCTCCTCTTCCTCCTCCTCACTGTCTGATGAGTGAGTAGAGGCATAAGAGCCACTCTGATCATCTTCCAGGGACAGGTCACTGTCAGAGTCTGTGTCAGGATCTGGGAGGTGGGGGAGAAATCACGGCTGACCAACCTGCCTCTGCACACCCTCCACAAAAGCCAGGCAGCTGCCCCCCACCGGCCATCAGGGGCTTCTGTTCTCACCATGCTGCTGGTCTTGACCTTCCAGGAATAGGCTACCTGGGTCCCCAAGGCCAGGGGGCCCTTGGCCAGGGTTCAGTGTGGACTCTTCCCTGAGAAGACAAGGCCATGTTAGAAGGGTCAGCCCAGCCCTTTGCCTAGTGTCCCGTTCTTTTCTCTCTCTCTCGTTTCCCTGTTCCTGCCCCATGCCCCTCCTACTTTTTTTTTTAATTTATTTATTTTGAGAGAGAGAGAGAGAGTGCGTGCACACATGGGGGAGGGGCACAGAGACAGAGAATCCCAAGCAGGCTCCAGGCTGTCAGCACGAAGCCCGACGTAGGGCTCAAACCCACGAACCATGAGATCATGACCTGAGCCTAAGTTGGACGCTCAACCGGCCTGAGCCACCAGGCACCCCCCCTCCTGCTTCTAATTTAAGCTGCCACCAGTCAGCTAGCCACCAAGTGCGCTATTCAACTCCCAGCAGGTGGCTGGCCTGGTTTCCAGCAGGCACAGCACTCTTCTCTCCTTGTGGATGCCCCCGTCACCAGGGCTCACCTCAGCAAGAAGGGGATGTAGCTGGGTTGACTCTTGCCCGAGCGGCTGGCACTGTGTAGAGAGCCTGCTGAGTCTCCGTACGGCTGGTAGAGCCGCCCATCTGCATAGGGGCTGGGGCAGTTGTAGGACTAGGCATGGAATGGAGAGGTCAGTAGGTAGGGGGAGCAGGCCGGGGTGGCCCCAGGACGGGGAGCAGAAGGGCCGAGGGAGCTTGCCCTAAGTTCTACCACCTACACGCCCAGGTCTGAAAGAGAGAGGCCCCACATCTCCGCTCCCCCCACCACTCCCATATCAGGGCCTGGTAGTAGCCATAGCAATGCCGTACCTGGGCCAGCCCTGTGCACGCCAAGTACCCTGGACTCAGCTATATAAGGGCTTCCTGGTAAAAAATGGTACCAGGAATTATCTCCTGAGAATGTGCTGGACACAGAAAATCTACCAAGATCCACGAGGGATTCTCAGATGTTGGGCATCCGTGACTGGGTCACCTGTCTTGGTCACTTCCTCACCTTACTCTTCCTAGCTCTACACCCAACTCTTCTGAGTCAAAACCTTCCTCCCTACCCCCGTGTCCCCCTCTTCCCAGGCCACACATACCATTTCACCACCCCTTCCTCCTTCCAGGAAAGGATGTAAGGATGAAGAAAAAGCGGGGCAAAAAGCACAGAGAACAAGCTCCTTGGGCCTTCTGCCTCTTCCTCTCTGCCCCAGACCTCCCTGATCCCACGTCCCTGATCCCTGGCTCCCTCACCGAGGTCAGGGTGGACTTGGTGGTCAGCGCAGGGTCAGGGCTCGGCTTGCGGCTGCAGGCAAACTTGAGTGCTTTCCGGACCTCCTTGCTAAGCACCACGTAGGAGAGGAAGATGAAGGGGCCCTGGCAGGCGAGAGGCAGCAGCTAAGTGCGGAATCGGGCACCCCATGGCCAAACCTCACACCCCCATCTCCATGGGCCTGGGCCAGGTACCTGGATGCAATTGCAGGCAGCAAAGAGGTAGTGGAAGAGGAGGGTGTCACTGTTGACAGAGAGCAACGCCAGCAGCCACGTGGCGCTCAGCAGCAGGAGAACAGCGAAGGAAGGCCGCAGGCCTGAGCTGGAGAGGGGGAGGCTGTGAGCCCGGCCAGGAGGCCTCCCACACCGATGCCTGCCCACTGCCCAGGCACCCACACCCCATACTCACACAGGGCCTTTCTTCTCAAAGCCCTGCCGCTGGGCAGCACAGGAGGCGCGGGCTGCCAGGATGTACAGGAAGACACTCATCTAGCAGGGGAGGGCGATCATCAGGGGACAGACAGCTTCTACTCAACTCTGCGGGGGCCCAGCAGTTTCCCCATTCCTAAATGGGGACACACTCAGCCTGCTCACCCCCAGCCCACTTTCTAGCACCTACCGAGACAGCAAAGGCCACAGGGCCAGCAAAACTCCAGATGAGCGTATCATAGATGGAGAGCCAGCAGAAGTCAGGGTTCCCATAGCCCTCAGGGTCGAGGCCCACGGCTAGACCTGGGGGTATGGTGACAACAGCAGGGGAAGGGGTGGTAGGGCCTTGACACCAGTCAGGTGTCAAATGGGCTCACAGGGCCAGGTGCAGAGGACAAAGGGTTCCACCCACCATGTGTCCATGCTGACCTGTCCAGGATGGGGGACCCAGCCCCTGGTGGGGAGCCTCAAGGACTGAGAGGCATGCCTACGGAGAACTCAGCCTGGGTCATGGGGGTATGGGGCCTCTGGGACTGGGATGTGGGTGGGGAGAATGTGGCATGAAGGTGGACCCAGGGCCTAGGGATGCAGAACCTCAGGCCCGGGAAGGGGGTGGGAGGTACCTGTGATGAAGGCAGGCACACCCCAGCCCAGCATATAGTAGAAGCGCATGGGGCCAGCGTTGACGTCGCGCACCTCAGTGAGTGCCCGGTACAGGTGCAAGGCCTCCAGCAAGGCCCAGGAGAAGGTGCAGAGGTACAGGAAATGCAGCAGGATGGCGATGACTGTGCAAGCAAACTGGGGGCCCAGCCATGCCTGGTCAGTGACCAGGGCACACCCAGAGTGTCTTGTCAGGGGAAGGGCCTGGGTGTAAGGTGGTGCTTTGGGAAGTGTGGGCCAGAGGACGGTACTCCTAGGATGCTGGCGGG